AATTTCTTGATTTGATATTTCCTCTATTTTATCTTTTAATTCTATGTATTTATTTAGTTAAATTTAAAATGCTAACTAAAATCCTATTGTATCATGAATACAAGATTTGATTATATTGTAAGGCAATTGATGGTATAAAGTAAAGGAGACCTCAAATATGACTTACTATAATAACAAAGCAAAATCTCTCTGGGTAAATCATTGTGAAAAAGGAGATATTGTTACACGGTAAGAGATCTAAATTATGACTTTTCATAATAACAAAGCAAAATCTTTTTGGGGACGAATTCGCTGAGGAGAGAGATTGTTGGGAGAGGGACGAGAGGTTAGCGAGCAGTTTGGATAAGACTCTTATTTTTTTTATTTTTTTATTTATTATTACTTTTTCTTTCACCCTTATTATAATCCTATCGGATTTAGTTCAATTTCCTAATTTTTTTCAAATTAAAATTAAAAGAGTTTGTTCGGCTTTAATTTGTAGATTTAAAGACGACCGACTCTTATTTATTTATTTATTTATGGTAGTAACTACTCTTACCCCTTATTTGATTTATTCCAGGACCATAAATGACTCTTTTATTTTTATTTTTATAGGGTACTAACTATTATCGTTATAGAATTAAACTTTATTAGTAAACCTATAAAAAGAATATGAATTAACTATTTTAAAAAAATTGTAATCTCCTCCTTATTCATGCATTTATCCATTCCTATAAATACCCACCAACATTCTCCTTCAACAACCCATCAAATACTCTTCATCATCTTCAAACTTTTTCACCATGCCTAAGGCTCTTTTCTTCGTGGCTTCTCTTCTCCTCTACGTCATATCGCTATCGTTGCTCGCGGTGGCAACCCAACGTTTAGATTTGGCGGGCAGCTACAAACCAATAAAAAACATAGATGAGCCCGAGATTCAAAGCTTAGGTGAGTTCGCAGTGAACGAACACAATAAACAGGCAAAAACTCAACTCCACTTCCAAAAAGTGATTAGTGGAGAAATGCAAATTGTGGCTGGGACCAACTATAACCTTCGATTGACAGCTCTTGAGGGGACTAGTAGCCGAACCTATGGCACCCTTGTGTTCACTGATCTCAACAATAAGAACAACCTTGTCAACTTCTTTGACGTCCCCAGCTAGACTTCTTACTTCCTATCAAACACTATGTGTCTTTCTAATTTTCTATCTTTTTTATATTATGTTATGAATGTTTGGAATCTCGATCAACCTTATGTACGGTTTAAAACTTAATACAAGTATAATTTTGTTGAATAAGATATATGTCTTTGAATAAAAGAATTATACGATCAACTTTTATTTATATAAATAAAACAAAAAAACTAAGTCATATGAAAGGATACATACATATAATAAATCTAAAATAATTAGTGTCATTACAAACAAAATTAATTTCATAATTTTAAGGTACACATCTGAAATTCAAGTGTATGTTCAAATAGAATAACTTAAATAAAATATATAATACAAAATTTAAATCATCAAAAACATTGTTTAGATAATGAAAATTAAATATTAAAGAAAAAAATTTAAGAAGTTTCCTTCTATGCCTCGTTGAAAAATCAAAATATTTCAAAAATCACTTTTTTTTTTCAAAAAATCAAATTATTTCTGGTTTGGCCAACTTGAGAAGGTTTTTTTTACTCAGTTACATATGCTTCTTGAGGCACGATGGGGTTAGGGAAGTCTTTCCATCCCTGCCTCCTATTTTAATTTCCATCATCGTTAAATTTTCTATTTATTTTTTTGAGGATTCCCGCAAAATATTAACGAATATTAGATTGTTTGTAGGAAAAATTTCTCTGAATTATTTATTTATTTGTATATATATATATATCTTCATTTTAAAGACTTTTTAATAGATAAGTTTCTGCTGTTGTTGAGTGGCAGTAAATGAGAAAGTGAGTTTGATTTGATTCAAAAAACGATATTTATATTGATAGAAATATCTAAAGTGTTTCAAATATGAGAATAGAAAACTCATTTTCGAGTATAATTCCTAATAAAAATGGTAAAATATTCTAATAAAATCCAATAATATTTCATAAGCAAACATGTAATATAATGTTACAACCAATCGAAAAAAGATTGCCACTACATGCATGTCTTGACTACTAAGTACAGAAATTATTTACAAAACATTGACATATATTTTAATGTTCATAACAATTCATTTAAAACAATGATGTTAATAAACAGTGAAATTGAAATAACAAAAATTTAAAAATAATTTTAACACCCTTATCTAAGCTAAGAGCTAGAACAGTAAATCTACTACCCTAACTTCGTATCCATTGCCTCCACAACGACACAATCATTTGTACATGGTGTCTTATGTTTATCTGAAGAAAAAAAGTACACTTGAGTATTTAAAAATACTCGGTAAGTATCTGCAATGTTGGAATCGAGAAATTCAATCTTGGTAAAACACATCTTTTCATAAAAATTTTCCTTAGTCTAAACTTTCTAGTCAAGACACGGTTAAACGTGTAGTAATTCTTTACACATGGGCTACATACGTAAACATGGACCCACCAACAGGCTCATATATGTACCTCTGAGCCTAACTACGGGCTAGCGCACCTTCACGTTATCGGGAGCCACAGAGGAAAAGGAACGTGTATAATATCATGGTGTATGCATTTGTACTGAAGGAAGTATCCCAATGCACGTGACATAAAAAATGCATGAAGTCTCATAATTTCAAATCATGGTACATACTTAAAATTCAAATCATACCTCCATTTTTTTCGTGACATGACATCCCTATGAGATATTCATACGTATACTAAACATATCTTTAAGGATTAACATACATGGTTTATCAATGTCTCATAGGCATGATGTGAACATGCTAACATACACACATGGTGTAACATATGGAAGTACATACATCCTATAACATTCATATCATAACATAAAATAATCAAACATAATATAACATCATAAAAATATGGCATGCATAAGGGCTACAAATGTACATGTCATTCATACGACATACAAGTCATCCAACCAGGCCCGTGGGCGTCCAACAGTAAAACCACTTGCTTAGTTGGTTTAAGTCGAGGTCACTAATTATTCTTGGCACAGCCTAAGTCGAGGTCGCTAATTATTCTTGGCACAGCCTAAGTCAAAGTCGTTAATTATTCTTGGCACATGTCTTACTCTGCTCATTGAAGTTCAACTCAACCTATGTTTGGCCCACATCAACGGTTTATGAGTCAAATCGATTTGGGTTACTAGTGTAGCTTTGAACCTGAGCTTTGTTTAGTTCTTTTTTTTTTTTTTTCTTAGTCTCCAAGTTGGTGAAGGATGATAGGAAAAAAGAGATGGAGAAGTAGAGAGAGGAATGAGTTGTGTCCAAGAAAATGGAAGGTTTGGGAGATTATTTATAAGGGAAGGAGAAGAGAAAGTTGAGGGAATGTAGGAAATGGTTGAGGGATGAGGACAAGGGTTTCTAATCTATAATGTGTGTCAAGTCGATCAAGTACTTGCGAAGCACCGACACGTAGAATACGTTATGCATCGTGAAGGGGGAATGTAATAAGTGGATGAGTTATGATACCCATCAACCTTCCCCTTCAACAAACCATCAAATACTCTTCATCATCTTCAAACTTTATCACCATGGCTAAGGCTCTTTTCTTCATGGCTTCTCTTCTCTTCTTCGTCGTAACGCATTCGTCGCTCGAAGCAGCAACCCAACGTTTAGGTTTGGCTGGCAGCTAATAACCAATAAAAAACATAAATGAGCCACAGATTCAAAACTTAGGTGAGTTCGAATTGAATGAACACAATAAATACGCAAAAACTCAACTCCACTTCCAAAAAGTGATTAGTAGAGAAATGCAAATTGTGGTCGGTCCCAACTATAACTTTCGATTGACAGCTCTTGAGGGGACTAGTAGCCGAACCTATGGCACCCTTGTGTTTACCGATCTCAACAACAAGAACAACCTTATCAACTTCTTTGGTGTCTCCAACTAGACTTCTTGCTTCTTATCAATAACTATATGTGTTTCTAATTCTCTATCTTTTTCATATTATGTTATGAATGTTTGGAATCTCGATCAAATTTGTTTACGTATGGTTTAAAACCTAATACAAGTATAATTTAGTTAAATAAGATATATAATGAATCTAAAATAATTAATTTCAATACAAATAAAATTAATTTCAAATCATAATAACTTAAATGAAAGAAAACATTCCTGAGATAATTATAATGAAAATGAAATATTAAAGAAAAAGAATAATATTAAAAAAAAAAAAGTTTCCTTTTAGGCTTGGTTGAAAAATCAAAATTTTTATCATTAGAAGGTATGGTAAATAATATAATTTTTCAACTTATTTTACGCGTGACATACCTGACGGTGATGAGACATTAACGATGGGACCATGGAACATGTCAAGCCTACCTCGTAGGCTAGTATACATAATCTATAACTTAAAGTTCTGGTACCAACTATAACGACCCTAGATTTCTACTAACCTAAAGTCGTTACCGTTTTCATATCCTAATTAAACATTTAAAACTAAATCATAAAACACTATCATGGACTTATGTGTTCAAAAACATCTTCAATGCCTTCAACCTATCATACCACAAACATATTAATTCATCAAACACATCGTACATAAAAGTTGATCATAATGGATGAATAGGCTGGAACCAAACGTGACAAGTTGACTGTAAATGCTACCACAGACCGAATTATTCGTCCTCATTTGAAGGTATAACGAGAACTTAACTCGGTTCACTACGACATCCCGTGATTCCCACATTTATGTCAATGTCTTCTTCTTAAAGGTGAGATCAGTCCGGATGAATGATTCCTGTGCACTGAACCTCTACAGTGTAGCCTGTGGAAGGATTGATTTATTTTTCGGAACCAGTTTTGGAGGTCCTTGGTATGATATATAAACTACCTGTCCATTGCTAATCAGAGACATCACACTTACACTACACTAATCATTCAGGGATGTCGCGGGCGGTGCTATTATCGTCACAGAAGCTGGTGCGCTCGTGTTTGATCCGTAAGTAGCAAGAACTAGAGTCGAGTCGAGTCGAGTCTATTACTCTTTTGAACTCTACTCTAATGAGCTAACCATTTTGTAACTGAAATACAAAAGAAAAAAGCTTTTATCTATCGGTGAATGCCCGTGTAACCGATTTGTTTTCTTGCTTAGGAAATTTAGAAACTTGGTTTTTATGGATATTGATTGTAATGTCAGCTCTGGCAAGGAGTTTGACGTAACATCTCAAAGGGTAGCAGCTTCCAACCCTCTTCTAAGGGATGCATTTGTGGAGGCTTTGGAGATTTAAGAGTGTAATGATCTTCAAACTTTCTATAGTTTTGTTCTTTCTTTGATTTTTGTGGAGGCTTTGGAGCTTTAAGAGTGTAATGATCTTCAACTTTGTTATTTCTTTGATTCAAGTGTTTACCAAATAGCAATAGGGTGATGTTGATTCATTGTAATCTTGATTATCCAATGATGTGAAAATTATACAATGCACCTTGTATCGTAAAATGAAACGTTTGAGAATAAGATTGCCTGTAAATAAAATGTTGAACAACTTTCATATGGAAACTACCCTATGCATGTGCCATGGTCTCCTGAGTTGTAATGTCATTGTCAGCCGTACACACGAGAGTATTGCCTTTACCTAAAAAAATAAGAGTAGCACATGACTTGAATATTTTAAGAAATAATTAGTAAGCAACTCACTATTGGGGTTGGATGAAAACACATACAATCATGAATGAGACCTATCATTTAAATTTGTATTTCTTTAGGCGATTATCCTAAACGGGTAATTGAATGTGTATTTACTGTTATGCACATGACCTACATGTGTGAGTATGAACCCACTAGTCGGTTCGCACACCCCAGAGCCACTTTTCCTAATCGGGCTAACATTCTCTGGTGCTACTGCCAGACAGTAGAAATAGTGACCGTTGCAACATTATGATAAACATAATGATCGTTATTCTACCTCATAACGTATGCGTCCGTACCATTATAAAATGAGAGATTCCCCCATGCATGTAACACACAATCATGCATGAAGTCACAACATTTTCGTTCGTTAAACATGTATAACAACCCCTTCCGTCTTTTCTTTATATTATATCATTTTTATCATAGCTTTCTTTACCTATGTAATAGTTACAAAAAAAAAAAAAAAAAAAAAAAAAAAAAAAAAATAAGCACCAGAATTCTCGTGCCTTTAACATACCACGCTCCCCTGACATCCACGACATGCTACATAGCTTCACAACATTCAACCGCTCCTTACAGACTCACCTGTAAGAGAGAAGAGACTGACAATACCTAGAGTAGACGAAATGTTTACGTTATCGGAGAACCAGCATCAGCGAGATCTGAAACTTAATGTTTACACTATACCAAGGGCAAAGCTCCAAGGAAAAACTCATCAAGGATTCAGAATGTTTAGCCTTATCATATCGTCTTATGAACATATTGTAGTCCTATTGTTAAATTACGTTTAGTGCATCCTTCTCATGTCCTATCTCAAACATATCATTAAATACATCGTATCGTAAGTATGATCATACAATTCACATATCACAACATATACATATCATATCATAATCATATCGATTCATAAACAATTCACACATATCAATATATATGACAAGTGCAAGATCATAGGACACGTGTCAACATCAACTATAATTACGTCGATTGTAAAGTCATATTCTCTATTATTATTATCATTATTGTTTTATGGAAGATATCATTATGTTATACGCAAAAATTTGATAGGTTTCTCGACCCTAATTCTTCTATTTTTTTTCTTTTAATTCCCTTTTACTCTTTGTGTTTACTGGGTTAAATTCAAATTTTTATTTTTTTCTTTTTCCTCTCCTCCCTTCTTTTTTTGTGGTTAATCCATTCTTATTTCCAAATCTCACAGTTTTTTAATTAGTTACGATTTACTATAACTAATATAATAACTAAAAATTTATTGATTTATGAATGAAAGAGATTTGATTCTATTGTAACACAATCAAATTGTATAAAGTAAAGGAGATCTCAATATAACTCACCATAAAGTAAAATCTCTCTAAATAAAAAATTGAGAATTGCGTCAAGAAAAAAGATATCTCAAACATGAATTTTCATAATAAGAAAGCAAAATTTCTGTAACCAAATCTGCATTTTTTTTGTTTGAGTAACTGATACATTCTTGGCGACGGAATTGGTTGAGGGGAGAGATAGTTGGGAGAAGGATAAAATGTTAGTGAGAGCTGTTTGGATAAGATTGCTATTTTTTATTTTATATTTATTATTATTTTCTTCTTTTAAGGTTGTTATAATCCTCCTGATTTAGTTCAATTTTTTAATATATTCCAAATTAAAATTAAAAGAATTTATTTGGTTTTAATGGGTAGATTTAAGAACCATAATTGACTTTATATTTATTTATTTATGGTAGTAATTACTATTACCTTATTTGCTTTATTCCACATCAATGACTTATTTTTTATTTTTATTTTTTTATATGGTAGTAAACATATAAAAAGAATATGCTTGGAATACTTTTGTTTAAAAAATTGTAACCTCCTCCCCATTCATGCATTTATCCGTTCCTATAAATACCCACCAACCTTCTCCTTAAACAAACCATCAAATATTCTTCATCATCTTCAAACTTTATCATCATGGCTAAGGCTCTTTTCCTTGTGATTTCTCTTTTCCTCTACGTCCTATCGCTATCGTCGCTCGCAGCGGCAACCCAACGTTTAGATTTGGCTGGCAGCTACAAACCAATAAAAGACATAGATGATCCAAAGATTCAGAGCCTAGGTGAGTTCGCAGTCAATGAACACAATAAACAAGCAAAAACTCAACTCCAGTTCCAAAAAGTGATTAGTGGAGAAATGCAAATTGTGGCTGGGACCAACTATAACCTTCGATTGACAGCTCTTGAGGGGACTAGTAGTCGAACCTATGGCACTCTTGTGTTCACTGACCTCAACAACAAGAACAACCTTATCAACTTTAATGGCGTCTCCAAATAGACTTCTTGCTTCTTATCAAAGACTATGTGTGTTTTTAATTCTCTATCTTTCTTATATTATGTTATGAATGTTTGGAATCTCGATGAACCTTATGTATGGTTTAAAACTTAATACAAGTATAATTTTGTTGAATAAGATTTATGTCTTTGAATAAAAGAATTATACGATCAAACTTAAATTTATATAAATAAAACAAAAAAATAAGTCATATAAAAGGGAACATACATATAATAAATCTAAAATAATTAATGTCATAAAAAATAAAATTAATTTCATAATTTTAAGGTTAATCTTGAGTAGAATAACTTAAATTAATTAAATTGTACTGGGGTTTCATAGTTATAATGAAAGTTAAATATTAAAGAAAAAGTTTAAGAAGTTTCCTTCTATGCCTCGTTGAAAATCAAAGTATTTATAGTGAGAAGATATGGTATATAATATCACATTTTCTTTGAAAAAAAAAATCACATTGAGTCGTTTTTTTGGACTCACTTAGAAATGTTTACAGGGCGGAATAGGGTTAGGGAAGTCTTCCCATACACGTGTCCTATTTTAATTTCTATCACCGTGAAATGTTCCATTTATTTTTTTGATGATTCACGTGAGAAATTCGTTTTAAAGACTTTTTAGTAGATAATTGTCATTTTTCAATATACTTTCTAATAAAAGCGGTAAAATATTTTAATAAAATCCAATAACATTTCATGACCAAACATTTAATATAATGTTACAACTCAAGTAAATAAGGTTGCTACTACATGTATCTCTTGACTACCAAATGCAGAAATCCTTTACCATGATTTATTAAAACATTGTCATAGAATTAAATGTTTATAAAAAAATCATTTGAAACGACAATGATGTTACTAAACAACGAAATCGAAATAACAAAAGTTTTAAAATAATGTTAACGCCCTAGTCCAACTTAAGAGCTACAACATTAAACCCAAATGTGACAACCCTGACTTTGTATCTATGGCCTCCACAAAGACACAATAATTCGTAAATAGGTGTCTTAACTTTACCTGAAAAATAAGTAACACGTGGCTTAGTATTTAATACTCAATCATTATCCCCAATGTTGAAATTGGAAAATGCAATCATGGTAAGACCTATCTTTTCATAAAATTTTCCCTTAGTCTCAACTTTCTAATCAAGACAAGGTTGAATGTATAGTACTTCTCTATACATGACCCACGTATGTGCACATGGACCTACCAACACGCTCATATATGTACCTCTGGGCTTAACTACTGGGTAGCGCACATTCACGCTGTTGGAAGCCACAGAAGGAAAGGAACACATATAATATCATGGTGTACGCATCTGTACTAATTATAATCAATGAAGTATTCTGATGCACATGACATACAAAATGTATGAGATTTCATAGTTTCAAATCATGGTACATACTTAAAATGCGATTCATATCTCCCTTTTTTTTTCAAGACATGGCATCCTATAAGATATGCATATATGTACTGGACATATCTTTAATGGTTAAATACAACTCAGCTGGCATTTTCCTTCATATCATATCATTTATCATATCTTTCATGTGTACGCCGAGATTGTATTTCATGCTAGCTCGTCATTTTGCATGTCAATCATATCATATCAATCATGTCACACATATATCATATCATAACATTTTCATGCTTTCAGACATAACAGACCACATCATGCATATATTCCATCATATCATATATCATAACAGTCACATAACATATCTCATGCATGCCTTCAACCTATCATACCACAAACATATTAATTCATCAAACACATCGTACATAACAGTTGATCATAATGGATGAATAGGCTGGAACCAAACGTGACAAGTTGACTGTAAATGCTACCACAGACCGAATTATTCGTCCTCATTTGAAGGTATAACGAGAACTTAACTCGGTTCACTACGACATCCCGTGATTCCCACATTTATGTCAATGTCTTCTTCTTAAAGGTGAGATCAGTTCGGATGAATGATTCCTGTGCACTGAACCTCTACAGTGTAGCCTGTGGAAGGATTGATTTATTTTTCGGAACCAGTTTTGGAGGTCCTTGGTATGATATATAAACTACCTGTCCATTGCTAATCAGAGACATCACACTTACACTACACTAATCATTCAGGGATGTCGCGGGCGGTGCTGTTATCGTCACAGAAGCTGGTGCGCTCGTGTTTGATCCGTAAGTAGCAAGAACTAGAGTCGAGTCAAGTCTGTTACTCTTTTGAACTCTACTCTAATGAGCTAACCATTTTGTAACTGAAATACAAAAGAAAAAAGCTTTTATCTATCTGTGAATGCCCGTGTAACCGATTTGTTTTCTTGCTTAGGAAATTTAGAAACTTGGTTTTTATGGATATTGATTGTAATGTCAGCTCTGGCAAGGAGTTTGACGTAACATCTCAAAGGGTAGCAGCTTCCAACCCTCTTCTAAGGGATGCATTTGTGGAGGCTTTGGAGATTTAAGAGTGTAATGATCTTCAAACTTTCTATAGTTTTGTTCTTTCTTTGATTTTTGTGGAGGCTTTGGAGCTTTAAGAGTGTAATGATCTTCAACTTGTTATTTCTTTGATTCAAGTGTTTACCAAATAGCAATAGGGTGATGTTGATTCATTGATTATCTAATGATGTGAAAATTATACAATGCACCTTGTATCGTAGAATTTTAAAATGAAACGTTTGAGAATAAGATTGCCTGTAAATAAAATGTTGAACAACTTTCATATGGAAACTACCCTATGCATGTGTCATGGTCTCCTGAGTTGTAATGTCATTGTCAGCCGTACACGAGTATTGCCTTTACCTAAAAAAATAAGAGTAGCACATGACTTGAATATTTTAAGAAATAATTAGTAAGCAACTCACTATTGGGGTTGGATGAAAACACATACAATCATGAATGAGACCTATCATTTAAATTTGTATTTCTTTAGGCGATTATCCTAAACGGGTAATTGAATGTGTATTTACTGTTATGCACATGACCTACATGTGTAAGTATGAACCCACTAGTCGGTTCGCACACCCCAGAGCCACTTTTCCTAATCGGGCTAGCATTCTCTGGTGCTACTGCCAGACAGTAGAAATAGTGACCGTTGCAACATTATGATAAACATAATGATCGTTATTCTACCTCATAACGTATGCGTCCGTACCATTATAAAATGAGAGATTCCCCCATGCATGTAACACACAATCATGCATGAGGTCACAACATTTTCGTTCGTTAAACATGTATAACAACCCCTTCCGTCTTTTCTTTATATTATATCATTTTTATCATAGCTTTCTTTACCTATGTAATAGTTACAAAAAAAAAATAAAAAAAAAATAAAAAAAAAAAAAAAGCACCAGAATTCTCGTGCCTTTAACATACCACGCTCCCCTGACATCCACGACATGCTACATAGCTTCACAACATTCAACCGCTCCTTACAGACTCACCTGTAAGAGAGAAGAGACTGACAATACCTAGAGTAGACGAAATGTTTATGTTATCGGAGAACCAGCATCAGCGAGATCTGAAACTTAATGTTTACACTATACCAAGGGCAAAGCTCCAAGGAAAAACTCATCAAGGATTCAGACGAAATGTTTACGTTATCGTCTTATGAACATATTGTAGTCCTATTGTTAAATTACGTTTAGTGCATCCTTCTCATGTCCTATCTCAAACATATCATTAAATACATCGTATCGTAAGTATGATCATACAATTCACATATCACAACATATACATATCATATCATAATCATATCGATTCATAAACAATTCACACATATCAATATATATGACAAGTGCAAGATTATAGGACACGTGTCAACATCAACTATAATTATGTCGATTGTAAAGTCATATTCTCTATTATTAATATCATTATTGTTTTATGGAAGATATCATTATGTTATACGCAAAAATTTGATAGGTTTCTCGACCCTAATTCTTCTATTTTTTTTCTTTTAATTCCCTTTTACTCTTTGTGTTTACTGGGTTAAATTTAAATTTTTCTTTTTTTCTTTTTCCTCTCCTCCCTTCTTTTTTTGTGTTAATCCATTCTTATTTCCAAATCTCACCGTTTTTTAATTAGTTACCATTTAGTATGACTAATATAATAACTAAAAATTTATTGATTTATGAATTAAAGAGATTTGATTCTATTGTAACACAATTAAATTGTATAAAGTAAAGGAGATCTCAATATAACTCACCATAAAGTATTGGGTCAAGAAAAAAGATATCTCAAACATGAATTTTCATAATAAGAAAGCAAAATTTCTGTAACCAAATCTGCATCATCTCCCAGTAAATCTGCATTTTTTTTTTTTGTTTGAGTAACTGATACATTCTTGGTGACTGAATTGATTGCGAAAACGGATAATTAGGAGAGCGATAAGATGGTAGTGAGAGTTGTTTGGATAAGATTGCTATTTTTTATTATTTATTTATTATTATTTTCTTGATTTAGTTCAATTTTTAATATATTTTAAATTAAAATTAAAAGACTTTATTTTGCTTTAATTGGTAAATTTAAGGACCATAATTAATTTTTTATTTATTTATTCATGGTAGTAACTACTATTACCTTATTTGATTTATTCCACATAAATGACTTTTATTTTTTATTTTTATTTTTTTATACGGTAGTAAACATTTAATTGCAAGAATACTTTTGTTTAAAAAATTGTATCCTCCTCCCCATTCATGCATTTATCCATTCCTATAAATACCCACCAACCTTCTTCTTCAACAAACCATCAAATATTCTTCATCATCTTCAAACTTTATCATCATGGCTAAGGCTCTTTTCCTTGTGGTTTCTCTTTTCCTCTACGTCCTATCGCTATCGTCGCTCGCAGCGGCAACCCAACGTTTAGATTTGGCTGGCAGCTACAAACCAATAAAAGACATAGATGATCCAAAGATTCAGAGCTTAGGTGAGTTCGCAGTCAATGAACACAATAAACAGGCAAAAACTCAACTCCAGTTCCAAAAAGTGATTAGTGGAGAAATGCAAATTGTGGCTGGGACCAACTATAACCTTCGATTGACAGCTCTTGAGGGGACTAATAGTCGAACCTATGGCACTCTTGTGTTCACTGACCTCAACAACAAGAACAACCTTATCAACTTCAATGACGTCTCCAAATAGACTTCTTGCTTATTATCAAAGACTATGTGTATTTTTTAATTCTCTATCTTTTTTATATTATGTTATGAATGTTTCGAATCTCTATGAACCTTATGTATGGTTTAAAACTTAATACAAGTATAATTTTGTTGAATAAGGTATATGTCTTTGAATAAAAGGATTATAAGATCAACTTAAATTTATATAAATAAAACAAAAAAATAAGTCATATAAAAGGGAACATACATATAATAAATCTAAAATAATTAATGTCATAAAAAATAAAATTAATTTCATAATTTCAAGGTAAATCTTGAGTAGAATATGTAACGAACCGAAATTTTCTACTTAATTTAAGGTCACTACTGTATACGTCCCATAAACATTGAATGCATAAGACTTCATTAAAATTTCATAAAACATAACTTTTATCTTAAAACACAGCCATGGACTTACGTGTTTCGAAAATATTTTTAAAACGGCACCACAAAAGACTAAATAAAATGAATAAGAGTTTAAGTTAAAAACAACCCAGTCTAGTCTAAGTCTAAGAAAACAAATACCACTACCTTATGCATGTGTCATGGTCTCGTATTGCGATGCCGTCATCAGCCGTACATGAATGTCTTGCCTTAACCTAAAAAATATAGTAGTACATGACTTTAATATTTAAAGAAATACTCAGTAAATGACCCCATTATTGGAGGTAAATGAAACAATCACATGCAATAAATGACTTAAATAAAATGTACCATACAAAATTTAAATGATCAAAACATGGGTTTCATAATTATAATGAAAGTTAAATATTAAAGAAAAAGTTTAAGAAATTTCCTTCTCTACGTAGTTGAAAATCAAAATATTTATAGTGGGAAGATATGGTAAACAATATCACATTTTCTTTGAAAAAAAAAATCAAGACTCACTTAAAAATGTTTACACGGCGGGATAGGGTTAGGGAAGTCTTTCCATACACGTGTCCTATTTTAATTTCTATCACCTTGAAATGTTCCATTTATTTTTATGATGATTCTTGTGAGAAATTCGTTTTAAAGACTTTTTAGTAGATAATTGTCATTTTTCAATATACTTTCTAATAAAATAGGTAAAATATTATAATAAAATCCAATAATATATCATGAGCAAACATTTAATAAAATGTTACCATCCAAGTAAATAAGGTTGCTACTACATGTATCTCTTGACTACCAAGTGCGGAAATCTTTTACAACGAGTTATTAAAACATTGTCATAGAATTAAATGTTTATAAAAATCATTTGAAACAACAATGATGTTAATAAACAACGAAATCGAAATAACAAAAAGTTTTAAAATAATGTTAACGCCCTAATCCAATTTAAGGGCTACAACATTAAACCCAAATGTGACAACCTTGACTTTGTATCTATGGCCTCCACAAAGACACAATAATTCGTAAATGGTTGTATTAACTTTACCTGAAAAATAAGTAACACGTAATAAAACATATGATTTATGGCATACTCGCCTCGGTAATGTGAATCATTTTATTATTTCTTTGTTAAATAGAAAAATGTCATCTTTCTCTTACGTCTTTATTGTCTTCTCCATCATTATGTAATACTTGTTCGCTTGCGAAAAGACATCATTTGCTTTATTCCCGAAATGAACGTAGGTTGTCTCATTTGTTAGATCTTATTCATTGTGATCTTTGGGATCCTTCCCCCGTCAAATCAAAATCGGGTTTTGTTTACTATGTTATTTTTATTGATAATCATTCTCGATTCACTTGGTTTTACCCTTTAAAATTTAAATATGATTTCTTTGATTTTTTTCTTCAATTTCAAAAATTTGTGGAAAATCAATATTCTTCTCGTATGAATCAAAGCGATGAAGGTACCGAATTTACTAGCAATTATTTCAAAACTCATTTACGTAATTTTGGCATCCACCATCAACTCTCTTGTTCATATATACCTGCTCAAAATGGTCGTGGTGAGAAAAAACATCATCATGTGACTAAGACTGGCTTGACCCTTCTCTTTCTCTCATCTTTCTCCTCGTTTTTGGGTCGACGCCTTCAGCACTGCAGCTTATTATTATCAACCGGTTGCCTACTCCACTTTTTGGAGGTAAGTCACACTTTGAACTCCTCCATGGCTACACTCCACATTATGACAATTTTCATCCCTTTGCTTGTCGTGTTTATCCTTACTTGCGTGATTATATGCCTAACAAGTTTTCTCTCCGCAGCATTCCTTGTAGTTTTTTGGGTTATAGTCCTGCTCATAAAGAGCTCCACTATCTTGATCCCGCCACTACTAAGCTATATATCACCCGTCATGCTCAATT